GAATTATTACCTGACTTTGAAAGATCATTTAATGCTGCCACAGTTCTTTGTAACTCGGTGTTTAAGGTCAACTCCTCTTTTTCCTTCCCAAGATGCTTATTAATGACAGATTCCCATTCATTTTTAGCAGGAAATTTGAAAACATCCTGTGTTACTTGATCAATTACATCAATAAAATGAACATGATTATTATTACACAAATATTTCTTGGAATCATAGATATTAAGTTCAATGATCTTATCATCAAACTCCACCTACTGATAAGATTTTTTGAGGTATTTCGCATTCCATTGGTGAAAGAGTGTATATCATTGCATGTCTTCAAGCTCATATGTAGGATCCTTTGGATATGATTTTAGTAATTTTATATGGTCCCTCCCAGTTAGGTTCTAGGAATCCCGTGTTGAGCTCTCGTGTAGCAGTGAAGACCTTTCATAGCTTCAAATCGCCAACTTCGAATTTTCTTATTCATACTTTTCGTTATAGTACTTGTCATTGCTTTGCTTGTAAACTATTATCCGAAGTTTAGCTTCATTTATTTTTTCTTCCAACAAGTTGAGCTCAACACGTAATGCTTTTTCGTTTATCTCTTCGTCAAAGTGCTAAGTTTGGAATGAGGTGCTCCCATTTCAAGAGGAATAACCGCTTCAACAACAAATGCAAGGAAAAAAAGGTTATCCAGTATTGTGCTTGAGGTAGTGTGGTAGGATTCTAACACACTAGGGAGTTCATCAACCCATACATCTTTGAGAACATCTAGTCAGGTTTTTATAGTGTGCTTGATGATCTTATTGATTGTTTCGACCATCCGTTGGCTTGAAGGTGATTTGGAACGAAGAAATGCTTTTGAATTGTTTAGCTCTTTGTAGAAGATCCTCAAACGTATGTTGTCAAAATGTTTTCCATTGTCTGTGACTATGGACTGGGGAACTTCGACTCCGTAGATGATTGATTTCGAAATGAAGTCCATGGTTTTATGCTTTGTTATCTTTGTAAGAGGTTCGACCTTGATCCACTTGGTGAAGTAGTCAACGAAGACGATGGCGATCTTAGTTCTACCTCGTCCGGTAGGCATGGGTCCAATCAAGTCTATTCCACATTTCGAGAATGGCCAAGGACTTATTATGGTAGTAAGCTCCTCTAGAGGAGTTTGGATGATAGGTGCAAATCATTGGCATCTGTCATACTTCTTTGCAAGGTTTAGAGCTTGATTTCATCTGATTCCTTTGTAGACGTCCTTTAGTATGTATAAGGCGTCTTCTTCGTTTAGGCACCTCAATGATAGGATCGCCTATCCTCTTTATAGAGAACACCATCTAAGATAGTATATTGAGCTGGTCTTATCCTCAACTTTCTGGCATCAGTTGAGTTGACGGGGCATTTCCCAAATCTTAAGAATTGTATAGTCTCATCCATCCAGGAAGCCTTAAGGTCTTTAGCAGTCAGTGTCACAACATTTTCTTCAACAGCAGGCTGTCGAATTATTCCCAACAGGATTCTTTCCAATTTATTAACCCCTTCGCTACTTGCGAGCCTGGTTAATGTGCTAGTATAGTAGTTTTGGGATCGAGGTATTTGTCTTACTTTTATCATCTTGAAGCCTCTTAACTCTCTTCTGGCGGTTTTCAGGTAGCTACTCATCATGTCTTCTTTGGTCTGGAAGAACTCATTGATTTGGTTTAATATGAGCAAGGAGTGTGTTATCAACTCCTTAGCTAATTTCAAGCCTACTATTAATGCATCGTTGTTAGAAGTCGTGAAGTCAAATGTTGGGAGCTATTCATTGATGGGTTTTCAATTGAGGTCCGAGCAGGTGCTCGAGTCATCCTCGCAAGTCTAAATCGCCACTGCTTTTGTTATCCGAGTTGAATTCTACTACAAAGTCAAGTAAGGCTTGTCCTTTTATAGCTGTTTTTTGCTTATAAGTTATATCAAATTGGCCGAGCTCAATGGTCCACTTTATCAGACATCCGAAGTGTCTGGTTTTTTCAGCATTTACCTTGGAGGATAGTTGGTCAGGACCCGTATAGGATGTTCTAGGAAATATGGCCATAGCTTTATTACTGACATAACTAAGGCATAAACAAGCTTTTCCATGGGAGAGTAGTCTAGCTCAGCATTGTGAAGTGCCTTGGTAACGTAATGGACTGGGTGTTGGATACCATCTTCTTTCCTAAAGCGTACGACGTCTAGGGTATGCTCAGATATGACCAAGTATAGCGATAGCTTTTCATTGGCCTTAGGCTTCGAAATGAGAGACAGTTGAGATAGTCATGTTTTCAGCTCTTCAAAGGCTTTGTTACATTCTTCAGTCCATTAGAACTTTTTCTCTCCTTGGAGTGTGTTAAAGAAAGGTTTACACCAGTCGGTAGATCGAGAGATAAATCTACTTAATACTGCAATTCGTCCCATGAGACTCTAAATCTCCTTATGTCGAGTTGGATAGAACAACTTGAATTTTTTTTTTTTTGGGTTAGCTTCTATCCCCAGGTGGTTCACCATATAACCTAAGAATATGTCAGAGCTAACCTTGAATGCGCACTTGAGGGGTTGAGCTTCATTTTATACTTCTGTATGATTGCGAACATGTCTGAAATGTACTGGATGTGGTCTCCAACTTTGGTACTTTTTACTAGCATATCATCAATGTAAACTTCCATGGTTTTGCCTATATGTTGGGTAAATTCTGAATTCATGAGCCTTTGATAAGTTGCTCTGGCATTCTTGAGGTTGAATGGCATCATCTTATGCAGTACAAGCATCGATAGGTTATGAAAAAAGTATGCTCTTGATCAGGTTTCGTACATGAGAATTTGATTGTAGCAGGATAAAGCATCCATAAAGTTGAGGAGCTGATGTCCAGCTGTAGCATCGACCATCTGATCTATCCTCGACAAGAGGAAGCTATCTTTAGGACATGTTTTATTGAGATCGGTAAAATCAGTTTCTCCACTTCTTTCCCAAGGGATTTATATCTTTTAGCATTCAGGGGTTTCCATATTTGCTATTTTGGCCAAGCTGTAGGATCTATATTGAGCCAGTGATAAGCAATCTGGGATTGATTCTCTCTATATCCTTATGACTCCAAGCAAACACATCCAAGTTGTCGCTAAGGAATTCTACAAGTTTGGACCTGAGTAGTTGTTGTAGTTCGTGCCTAATTCGAAGCTCTCTCAGGGGTATGTCCGACCTGACCTGGACCTTATCCAATTTATCGATGAGTTCTATTATCTTATCTTTTAACTTGATTCTGGGATCTGATAAGCTGAGGTTAGGTTCTCCTAAGTAGGCCATGTTTACCCCGTGCTGGAATGAGATGTAGGGAACTCCAGTTTTTGTAGGCAGTGAATAATACCACAACCTTCAACAACTTCATTATTCCCTTTAATATCCATTAGGCATGGATGTGGGAAACTTGACGGAGTAGTGATATATCGACACGATGGACTTTAAGTCAAACACCAGATGTTGTCTTATTATTGCGTCATAAGGTGAGGTGGAGTCGAAAACTACAAAATTAGAGTCAACGTGAGCCCCGTAGAGAATGTCTCCAACCTCAACAATGGGCTTGATTTACCCATTTGCCAAGGTTAAGGCTCCGTTTAGTCTGAGAACTACGTTAGGGCATGGCTGGAAGTGGAATTCTCATCCACTTTAGAGTGTTGACATACAAAATGTTGAGAGAGCTGCATAATCAACCAGAACCCGAGGGACCGTTACATCGGCTATATGTAGAGCCACAATTAGAACACCTAAGGAAGGACATAGGTTTGCTTCCTTAGCTTTGATTGGCTGGCAGCTCTCTTCAGGTCTTCTAAAATATTTGTGAGTGATTCATATTTTAGTTAGGTCAGTTGAAATAGGTATTTTCAGTCGAGACTCCTTTTATATGTCGTATCGCATATCTGAAACATGTTCACTCTCAAGCTAAACTGGTCAATATTGTAGTATCGAGCTTTAGTTTGATTTCCTTGAACCTCACCTACTCCGTTGGAGATGGGAAACTTTATGCGATAGTGATAAATTGAGGTTGCAAGCTTTAGTTTATGGAGTATATGCCTTTCCAAGATGGCATTAAAGTTGGATGGTAGGTCAACCACCAAAGAAATAGCAATGATTCTCCTCTGGCAGGGTACTTCTTCGAGCTCGATGATCAGGATGATCTAACCTCAGGCTTCAATTGGATCTACAGAAAAGCCTCTTAGCCTTCTATGGTAAACCAGTAGATATTTTTTTCTCGATCTCTATTCTATCCTAAGTCTTCAAGTACAACATGTTAATGGAACTTTTGTTATCTACAAGGGTTCGTCCTACTTGGATTCTGGCGATGAGCGCGTCGCTTTAAGTTTGCATCATGCCTCGAGAATCTTCTTTTAAAAATTCGAATCATTTCAAGTTCTTGGGAAGACCAAGGTTAGGTTTATGATGACCTACTTCATAGTTTTACCACACCCAAGTATCTCTAGCTTGTCTCCGACGTTCTCTACGGGAACCTTCTGCACATTGGTTTTCTCCTACCAGTATTCTA